CCCCCCATAAACAACTAACCACCCTTTCTAACTCTCAATCCCTCTCTCTCTAAACCCTAACCCCTCTAACAAATCCCAAATCCCTCTCTTCTTCTTCTTCTTTTTCACTCATCCCACTTCCCCCATCTTCATTCCTCTTACTCCTTCACCCTTCCGGGTATGTAACACTCATCTCTCCCTTCTCTTTTCTTTTTGTATTTTGTTGTAGTTTATGCTAGTTTAATATTGTAATGGTGTAGTAATTGTTAGTAGATTTTTGTTAGTTTCTTCTTATTTTTTCTTTTGAATTTCGCTTTTGAGATTGATTGGTGAAGGGGCTGTGTGTTTGATGTGGTGAAAAGGTGTATGTTGGTGGGTATTGAATGAAGTATTATGGGGTGTGATGGTGTCGTAGTATCTTTGATTTGGGGGAAGTTTTGATGTACCCATGAGGGCTATATGTGTTAGGATAAGTGCCTTGCCTACAAGGGGTTTGGGAAATTGCCCCAATGGAGTACTAAGGGCTAATGTGTCATGGTTGTGGTAAAGTCTGAGTAACCACCCATAGCCACACATTTCACACACTCACTAATAGGTGTTTCTCTGTTTGACAGGTACAATGAGTTCATCTAGGAAGAGACACAACACCGGGTCCTCCGCTAGTGGACCGGGAAGCTCCTCGAGATCTAGGAGTCAGGCTAGTGCACCACAGTTTGATAGCACTAGGTTTGTCTCCAAACCGACGGAGGACAGATACAATGCAAGGCAGCAAAGAAATTGCTACATGAGGTGCATATTGACAGATAGGCCTTAGAGGTGGAATGCCCGAACATCATTAATGAATTGAAGAGGTGTCAGCTAGACATCTTCTTCGAGGTACCTGAGGTGGCCAATGTTCAGATGGTCAGGGAGTTCTATGCAAACTGCCCGGAGCGTGAGAATGGGGTTATTACTATGCACAATACTCCGGTAAATGCATCTATCGAGGCCATCTGTAGGGTTTATCGGCTGCCAGTGTTTAGGGGAGAAGCTGATGATTATCGTACTTTTAGCCGAACAAGTGCCTTGTGGGGAACTCTTCTTGAAACTATCTGTGTGCCAGACAGAGAATACATATGGATAAAGCCCAGGATTACACTTAACTCCCGGTATCTCAATTGGGAGGTTAAGTTTTGGCTAACTATTATCAACAGTCGGTTGTTGCCTTCCAGCAACACGACTGATGTCAATCTACCACGGGCGTGAGCAATCTACTGTTGCATGGCTCATAGGGATTTTGATGTGGCCCGACTCCTCCATGACGAGATTCTCATTAGATCACTTGAGTTGTTCAAAGGCTTCTACTTCCCTTCTCTAGTCACTAGGTTGTGCCGCCTTGCTAGAGTCCCTGAAGACCTTAGAATTGATGGGAAATTACCACTAAAAGCCCCATTCTTGGCAAGAAAAATCAAAATTGGGATAGAGCCGGTGGTGAATGTTGATGAATCAGATAATGAAACTGATGATGATGATGATGCTAAGGCAGCTGAGGTCCCACCACCTCCGAGAGTTGAATAGGCATGCCCACACAGCCCCACCGGAGTACCCGTATGACATCTTTGGAGCAGGAGATGGATGGGTTGCGTACCTCAGTCACTTATTTAGGTGCCCGTGTAGACGCGGTGGCTGACCGACAGGTGAAGTCGGAGAAGAAATTCTTAGGCTGGCTGAGCGCTCTAGGTCGTGTTTGCAATGTGAACTCATCAGTTTCCATAATTACATCCACAGTATCAATAAGAGAGCAATTGGCGAATTCACTTGGTCGCCTCATAGATTTTTGCACATTGAATGTTATCTATTCATCGTTCAATCTCATCTTAAGCTCCTCGGTCTCACAAGCAATGAGAGCTCGCCCAGTGACCAAGAACAGCATTCCCAAAATTATGGGAATTTCTTCATCCACCTTGCAGTCTAAGATAACAAAATCTGCAGGGAACACAAATTTCCCTACCTGAATCAACACATCATCCAGGATACCTGAGTGTCGTTTTACAGTCCTGTCAGCCAGCTGCAACAACATAGAGGTGGGTCTAGCTCTTCCAATCCCTAGCCTCTTATAAATCGCTATGGGCATAAGATTTACTTCTGGCCCCTAGATCACAAAGTGCTTTAGCAAAAGCAAAATTACCAATGCTGTAGGGAATCGTGAAACTCCCCGGATCAGACAGCTTCTCAGCAATTGGTCTAGTCACCACCGCACTGCAGGTCTGAGTAAGAGTCACTAGGGCCAGGTCTTGGAAATCGAATTTTTGGGATATCAAGTCCTTCATCATTTTTGCATAACCAGGCATCTCCTTCAATGCATCTATCAATGGAATATTTACCTGAATTGTTTCAACATCTCCAAGAATTTCTTGTATTGTTCCTCTTTTTGGTACTTGGCCAGCCTCTGAGGGAATGGTGTGGGAGGTCTCTTCTTCCCAATGATTTGGTCTTTGTCAGCTGCCACCTCAACGACTGGTTCCTGGGCTGTCTCAGCTTCTTTCTCAATCTCAATCTGAATGTTATTTTCTTCGTGGGCAGGCTGGACTGTCACCTCTGTCAGTTTCGTTGACTCATCTAGCTCAATGGGCACTGGTATGAGTGTCTTAGTCTGTCTGGTTTCTCGAGCCCTCTCTTGCTCTACATCTAAATCTCTGCCATTACGTAGACTCACTGCCATCAGCTGCTTCGGGCCTTGATCTTTGGGGTTTATTTGATTGTCTGCAGGTAATGTTCCATGAGGACGATTGTTTAGACACATTGAAATTTGGCCCATCTGCACTTCAATATTCTTGATAGCTGAATCGTGTGCATCTGCCCTCTCACTATTTTTTTCATTAGACCCAATAACCTGATGCATCATTGCCTCAAGTCTAGCAAACTCATCTTCCTGTCGTCCACCATATTGCTGCTGGGGAGGGTGATACCCCTACTGCTGATTCTGATTGTTATATCCCTGTGGCCGTGGATAAGGTGCCATATTGTTAGGAGGTATCATACCTCTTATGTTCCCATTGTTGAACTATGGCTGGACTGGCATGTACGGCTGATTTTGCTGGCCCCAATTCTGACCACCCTGTCTCTGGCCTCCATAATTAGACACATAGTTCATGTCTTCAGGGTAGTGATGATGATCATGTTCTGTATTCCACTGGTTACCAATTGGCTGACTAATGCAAAATGTGCACAAGCCCCCATTGGTAGTATCTACGATGTGTGCCTGCGGCTTCTACCCTGACTCTTCCACCTTTTTAGTGAGTATTCTCATCTGTGTCAATAAGGTCGCCATATTTTCAGCCATATAGTTGGATGGATCTAAGGGCACTGAGTGAACCACTGGAGTGATAGGTGCATTCTTGGTTGTCCATCCCGAGTTCTGCGCCATCTTATCAAGCAGACTCTGGCCTTCTCTCCATGTTTTGCTCAAAAATGCTCCACCAGCTGAAGAATCAACAATGTTCTTTACGCTATCTGACAATCCCATGTAAAACCACTGCCCTAACATCAGATCTGGAATACCATGGTGCGTACATATAACCAGCATCACTTTGAAACGTTCCCATGTTTCTTGCAGTGTCTCCATTGGTATCTGTTTAAAACTCAAAATTTCATCAATTTGTTAAGCAGTCTTGTTGAGTGGGTGGAACTTGTTATGGAATTGCTTGACTAACTCCTCCCAAGTGGTTATGGAATTTATGGGGAGTGAGTTTAGCCAGGTTTGGGCAGCTCCTGTCACTAAGAATGGAAACAATAATAGCTTGATTGCTTCCGGAGTTACGTTGGGCTGCCTTTGCGTTTTGCAGATTGACAGGAAATATTTCAAGTGCTGTTAAGGATCTTCGACTTGTGACCCTGAAAATAGTCCCTTGTTTTGCAACAAGTGCAGCATGTTATTCATGATTTGGAATGATTCAGCCTGTATCTGCGGGACTACAATCGTTATGGCCAGATTTTTAGCAGTGGGTTGTGCCCAGTCATAGAGAGCAGCCTCTGGCACAAGAGGTGCCACATGTGCTATTGGCGTTGCTAGGCCTACCAAGTTGTCCCCCATGTCTGGTTCGATTTGTTCAGTTACTTGTTGTTGTTTGTTTCTCCGGTTAGCCCGATTCAAGGCCTTGAAAACTTTCTTGGGATCTGATAATGCTTCAAATACTTCACCAGTTCTCGATGAGTTTCTAGGCATGCACCTGTACAACCAAGTAAACAAACGTTAAAATTTCAATGTAAAGATTGGGTATAGAGAAACTGACTACACTAAGAATTTTTTGTACTTCTTTCAATTGTAATTGATAACACCGTTAATTCCTCGGCAATGGTGCCAAAATTTGATCACACCCAACTATGCCTATTAAAAGGACATGTGGACGTTGTAAATATAATTTGAGTAATCAGTCCAGAGTCGAACCCACAAGTAATCAACCTATCAACTACTTTCGTTGGATTTACTAAATTCTACGGAATCAACTTCCCAAACGTTGTCAATAACAATTGATGGTATTTCTACTAACTAAGAATGAAAGTTAATAAGCAACTGAAAACTAACTATGATTAAGTTGTAAATAATTAAGAGAAGGTTCTAAGGTTATGATTTCCCTTACTGATGGAATCCCTTCCGGTTATGTTTCATATAGATTCACCAAATCATCTCTATCAATCATGCGCTCTCTTATTACCGTAAATCTCTACCGAGTAATCACGATAATTTACTAGATGCACTCTCTCGAGATACACTAGCTGGCTTTGTTTATTACAGCTCACTTTAGATTGCACCCAAGGCTTCGTTATCCCTAATCCTGCCTTTAAACCCGCAGTTATTGATCCCTCATATACTTTGGGAGTGATGTTGTTCAACAATTACCTAAATATGCACTCTCTCCTGTGTTATGCACACTAAATAGGCACAGCTAATTGAGGATCCTGTCAATTAACTACAACAAACACGTAGTTGGACAAATAGAGATTAAACTGGCAAACTATATTAACATCACAAGAAGTTCATCCTTTAATAGGTTCCATCAAAACCCTAGACTAAGGAATTAGCTACTCATGACAAAATAAGATGAAACTACTAAATTATTCATAAAGGGTAATTGCAAGAAAATAAAAGAGATAGAAAAACTCTAATATTTTGTTGATCTTCTCACACTTGTTCTTGCCTCCAAAGTATTCTAAAAACAAGTTTAAAACAATCTTGGGCGAGTTTCTATAGTTTATAAGGGTTTGGAACAAGTTTTTCCGAAGTTACACTTTGGTCCAATTTTGAGGTATATAGTTGTCTATAGTAGCCTTGTAGGCTCGCCCTACTTATGTTGCATGTATATGTATGTATTCCTTTTTGGACAGGTTTCCTTCATGTATATTATTCTCGTAATTCAGCAGATGTTATTCAGGCTTATATCTTAGATGCATGCTTAGGGATGTTTGACAGGTAGGACACGGGCACCCGTCGCAGCCCATCGATTTGGGTCGTGACATGTAAATACTCGTGTTCACCCTAAAATGGGGATAGGCTCCTTCATCCAACTTATGGACCACGGGCGTTAGATTACGTTTGTGATTCGGTTTATTATTTCCTTCATGATCTCTTCAGTCCATATGATGATACCACATGTGTTATGCCTCATACATACTTACATTGATGATGGTGGGGGTATATATCCCATAACACCAGCTAGGCCTATTGATTATACTGGAGGGAGATAGCCCATTTCTGAGATGCTGCATTTCATGCCGCGCAGGTACAAATAGATCAACGCTTGAGCCAAATCAGCAGGATATCCACCAGCTGGTGGAGTCACTTTGTTTACTCCTGGTGTTGCTTTTCTTTTTGGTAGGTGTATAGTCACCTAGTTTGGATATGACAGGGTCATATTCTATCCAGTACTTGTTCAATTCAGAGGTATGTAGTTATGCACCTGTAGTTAGTGTTTTTATATGTCAACTTGTGTTAGTCTTGTCGGCTTTCCAGATTGTACAGTTCTTATCAGCTATACTTATGTTTGTTCAGTTTAATAGTTATATTCATGATTATTAAATTATCAGTAGGTTTAGTGATGATCGACACTTAGTGTCGGTTATCCATCGCGGCACTAGGTCGGGTCGTGACAGTGACCACGCCGGGCAGATTGTTATATTGAGCCTAAGATCACGTCGGACGGATTGTGATATTGAGCCTGTGACCACGTCGAGCGGAATGTGACTGATAAAGTGGCCATGAGGTTCCATGTGTATATGATTCGTGATTTGAGACTCGTGATTTGTGATTATGAGGTGTGGTACCTCGGGGTGATTCTTGTTGTAAATCTCGTGTTAGAACGGTTTGATAGTTAGAACTATCGTTGGTTTTCCCTTAATTGCTTTCACTTGTATTTATTTGTTCTTTGATTATTTTATTGTTTTATCACATGATTACCCTTCGTTGCCATTTATTTACTTTTCTTTTCCGTTGTTACCTATATATTGATATTTTGTATAGGTTATTTGACTAGTGAGTATCTTGACTTGGCCTCGTCACTACTCCACTGAGGTTAGTCTTGATACTTATTTGGTACCGATTATGGTGTACTCATACTACACTTCTGCACATTTCATATAGATCCAGGTACCTCAGAGCACTGGGCGTTAGCGAGCTATTTATCAGAGTTGTTGTGGAGACTTCAAGGTATACCTGCATGTCCGCTCGAAGGTATCAAAGTCACCTTCTATTGATTCTTGCATATGATTTCGTACTACCGATTTTGGAAAAATGTATAACTACTAATCATTTTAGCTATGTATGTCATTTAATGGTTTATATTTAATGGTTTAAATTTGTTAATAACTCGGCATGTGCTAGGCTTATCTAGTTCTAAGGATTAGGTGTCATCACGATCCTTAAGGTGGGATTTTGGATCATAACAATAAGTTTCAAAAGCAGTATAAATCAGTAAAAATCTCTTTTATAATTGCAATGATCCTCTTTGTTGTTCCATCTTCTTTGATAGTTGCATGCGTACTATATGCAACTAATTAACATTTAAAGTAATTTCTTAAAAAGACGTGTAAAGGTCATAGTGGATAGTGGAAAATATTAATACTACAAGTTAATACATTGTACTTACTCTGTTTGGGTTTCTAAATCAAATACAAAACTTATGGATCAAAATTTTAACAAGGCATATGAGGATTTATGTGGGGCAATATTTTTTTTGGTTACAAAATTAACTAAACAGAGTCAATATTGATCAATTTTAAGAACTTATACTTTCCTTTAATTTTTATTTTATAAGTCAAACATATTTTTAATAATATTTATGTCATTTTTCAAAAATATTATTTCATCTATTAATCAATTTGACCGGCCACAAAGTTTAAGAAAAAATGAGACTTTTAAAATTTATTGTCCTACACAAGTCATAATATTTGTGATGCTATAAACGCTTCTCGAAAATTGAGAGTTTAAGTTAAATTACGTCTAAATTTAGCAAGAGGTCATTCTTTTTTGAACGAATTAAAAAGGAAATAGATTCACATAAACTAAAACGGAGGGAGTACTCATGATAAGAAGTACACGCACGACGCGCAAGGGCGAAGCCACACTTTGATTAGAGTAGTCAATCGATCATCCTTTATCGAAAAATTACATTGTGTATATAAGTAAAATATCAAATTTTAGAGGTATATAACATGTATTGAACACCTTTTGTGGTAAATTTTTTCACCTCTTTCAAATTTGAACACTATTGAGAAAATCTCTGGCTTCACTACGGACGACGCACGTTGTGTAAGATTGAAATATTTAAAGATCCAAGCCTAACTAGTTATGACATCTTACTACAGACTACTCTTAATTTTATTGATATCAAGTCAGATGCATGTTCCAACTCATCCGTAGGTCCTTCAAAATATGTCTAGCCGAGTGCTCATACTTGTCAATATATATATATATATATATATATATATATATATA